CTGACCAGCCACGTACCCGGACGTTCAAGTCCCTATCTCGCAGACACGTCCGTTAGATAGTGGTTACGCAATATGGAAGCTATGTTGAGCCCCGTTAGGGGAACCTGTTCAGCCAAATGTCCAGATGATGCAGATGATGCAAAGCAGAAACTTGCATTTCTTGCATCCCTAAAGCCTTCAAGATACCCAACATTAGCGCGAAAGCACTTTAAGCCGGTTCCAAAAACGTGAAAAAACACAGGATTCTAGAGCAAAAATGGCCCCCCCCCCTAGCTAAAGCTATTGTATACTGACGATACTAACGGATTGCAAGCATGCCCTATAAAACGCCTCAGCACCTTCGGTGCGGGCGGATTTTTTCCTCAAGTTGTCATAGGTTCTCGGCTTTGTTTGGGCGAGAATGTGATTGCTTAGGCCTGGAATTTGCAATCTGATTGCAGCCATTGGTCCTGTATTGAGTAGATGAGCGTGCTTGGGAGTCTTGATGTTGCCATTGCAAAAATGCCAACAGAAAATGCAATTGTGTGGGAGGAACTTGACATTGCTCCTCAGACAAGCCTTACTGGATGCACTTAGGTTAGTCGATCTGACCGGCGCCTTTGGTGAAGTGGAAGAAGCTTTGGCAGCTTCCCGCGTCAAAGCACAGGTCCAGACCACGCCGGGTCACTCGAGAAGAGGCGTAGTGATGAGGCAGGTTTCAAGACACGAACGGGGTCGACAGGAGAGTTGGAGGATGCGACAGAGGAACTCATGATCGGCTGCAGATCAAGAGAGCTGTGGTTCCACAAAGAGATGGAATCAAGAGATAGCTACACACTGAATATGGAACCAAAGAGATGGGTCATTGAAGATCTTCTTCAACTGCTCAACAAATGCATTCCGCCGCCGCCCTCCACTTTGCCGCTCCTCCCCAGGCTCGGCAACAGCCGCGATCCTGCGACGGGTGAGCCCAACGGCTCTTTCACGGCATCTGCACTGCTGCGGAGCGCGTCACCTGGCAGAGTAATAGGGATGGCCTCCAACCTAAGGGTTGAGTCAAACGGTTGTCAAGGGTTGTTGTTGGCGACTGGATCATGGTGTAGCTCTTTTTCAGGACCGATTGTTTTGGAGACGTTTGGAGTCTGTGAAGTGAGATTAGAGGCACTTCGCTTCTTTTGCGCACCACATGATGAAATGCAGGAGCATGCTTGTTGCCATGAGCTCAATGAGGTCATGAACCTACCCGCTGTATGCCTGTCCATGCCAGTGTGGATCTGGAAATTCCAGATGATGGCATGTTTCTAGCTAATCTTCGTGCACGTCCTTTTGATAGCTTGGTTCAAGTCTTGGGTTTATGAGTTGTGCGGTTCATCGCCAGAGCTGAGCAAAGGAACAGCACCTGAGTAGTGAAACGAAAAGAGAACCCCGACGGAGCTCTGAGGCAACTGAGGCTGATAGGCTAGCATGTTATCAGCAGTCAGTATCAGTATATATTTATATCTATCTATATAATATATATATATGAACATATTGGCCAAGAAGGCTGAGCTTGAACGGGTGATTTGACTCTGTTTCTCTTGTTAGAGCACGCCCAGCGCAAACCCTTTGTGTGTCATCCTTGAAAGGGCTGCACTTGCCATGCCTTCTCTTTCGAGCCATGAGAAGGAGCTGCGGTTTGCGCTGCTTTCCATGTTTCCATCCGCCGGGCTGAAGGAGGTGAGTGAAGCTGCACGTAGCGGCCACTTCGATGTCGCCGTGGAGATTTTGCGTGCTGCAGAACGGGCGGAGCCGGTCGACCATCCGCCGGTGTCGGTGTCAGCGGAGCCGGTCGAGCCGGCGTCTGCGGAGCCGGTCGAGCCGGTGACCCAAAAAAGTCAGGATGCTCCAGAAGAGGGGCCCATTCGGAAGTTTGACCCTGCCAGAGTTGGCACTGGGAACTTGGGCTTGGAATCTGATGTGGGTATATCTCCTGAAGTCCTGACAGAAGCCCTCGCTGCAGCAGCGTCAGAAGAAGCAGAAGGATCCCAGAAGCAGAGTCAGCAGAGCAAACATCCTGGGGCACGAGGAGGATATAACACACAGGATGGTTGGGAAATTCGGTGTCATGTTGATTATTCTCGGACTTGCCAATCTTTGAGAACGCTTCGTTCGCCCCAATCAAAGATTGAAGAAGCAGCCAAAATTATCCTTCAACACGTGGGTACAGACAACACAGCAGCGTTCGCTGCCGCTTGTTTTGAGAGAATGGTGCAGAGGGAGCAGGAGATGGATGATGACTTTTGTGTTTTCTACCATCACTACAACGGTGCTGCCTTGCTCTATGAGGTGCAAGCGGAGATAGCCCGATATGCCTTCGACTTGCCCGACACCTTTGCACCGCTACCGCGTGTTTTGCTGGGTCACTTTACAAATGCCACTCTGGAGAAACTTAAGCTTTCCTATGCAGCTATCAAGGGTCAGGATCATGATCCATGGTTTCGATCCTTAGCAATCTCTGCCTCTCCCACCCTCTTTGCATTTGGCTCTGAAGCCCCACCTCTACGTTGCTTTCGACAAGGCTATGGGTGCGGTGTCTCGTTCCGCGAGTTGATCACTAATCTCCTCAAAGATGTGTGCTGGATCCAGGGTGCAAAGGCTCAAGATGTGGTACATGAGTTGAGCATGATTGGGGCACAATTTGGCCTTCAAGTGGGTGGCTACAGCCACAAAGCCTGCCCTGCGCTCAAGAGCCTGGGTGGGCACATGCTCCAGATCTTCATCTCCAAGAAGGTCGTAAAGAACTATGTCTACCACAGCAGGCCTTTTGGAATTCCCATCGAAACTGAACTAGATCTTTGGCTTGCGAATCCTGAAGCCGTGGGCCAAAAGCTGGATGGCCAGGTGCGAATCCTTTTTGACCCGGAACTCTTCCTTTCCGGCAACGGTCACCTGTTTCATTACTGCGGAGATTGGCAGTTTCTGGGCGGCAATGAAGAGATGAAGGACTCTCGTGCAGCCTGCGTGGCAAAGATCAGACGTGTTCTGGAACCGATATTGAGAACGGTTCCCGTCTAAGAGATCCAGAGGCGGCTGCGCAATCCCGGCCAGGCAAAGTCAAAGAAGTAAGACGTACGACAAGCTTCAAGCAATGTCCTCCAACTTTTTGTGCCACAGCTACCAAGTAGCAGAAATGTTTCAAGCCTGCCAGGACCCTTCAGGAGGCAATGTATGTACAGTGTACAGGTCCATTGTGTTGAAAAGCCCCATGCTGAACCCGAGGAAAAAGTAAAGTATGTCCCAACAAGTCACAACCATCATTGCTTGGTATAAAGACTATGCAAAACAATCCACCAATCTACCCATGAATTGGCTATCATTGGCTCAAGTTCAGGGCTCCCTTCCAGGGCTATCATTGCTCAGGACTGGCACGGAGGCCTGCCGCTTTGACCGGTCCACTGGCATGCCAATCTGGCACACCGATGGGACCTACCGGCCACGGCCGCCCACGGGCTCGGCCTTGTAACTCAATCGCCGATGGGACCTACGGCCTTGTTTGGGGTTCGACGTTCTTTCTCTTGCGAAAACCAAGTTTAGAGATCTCTCTCCAGATGTTGCTCTCCCAAGCTTCAACAGTGTCTCCAAGATTCTGTCAATCTTTCTAAATGACATGCGATTGGTTCACCAGCAACGGAACAGCCGGGCCTAGCCTAGACCTCTCGAAGATTCTCAGAGATTGGTTCACTTCTGACATATTCAGTGCAATCAGACTTGGTTCGAGCCGCAGGCGTGTCAATTTAATTGCGAATCCAAACAGCCGAACTGGCACACCGATGGGACCTTCCGCCAGCGGCCACCAACGGGCTCTGCCTTGTACTTCAGATGAGCTATGACATGACGTGATCCTGATGTTTGGACATGCCATTGTTGAACTTGCTTCAACCAGAAGGCTAGATCTGCAGGCAGGCTTAGCTGCATGTAACAAAGAGTCACAGGCACCAAGCTGGAAGTATACAAGAGCTCCTGAGCCTCTCCCAGGGCTGCATTTTTGAAGGAATTTCCCAGAGCTCCCTGAGTTGAATAGGAGGCACCTGCGCCTTTGGGGACATCCGAGGTATGCGATCCAAGTCCCTCCGACGGGGGGCGACACGTGCTTCGCCGATGCCTCCCGGGCCTTTGAGACGTTGCCCATTGACACGCAGCGGAGGCAGCGGCAGAAGGGGGTGTTTTTGGCATTTCCGATGTTGGACTTGGAATGTGTGACTTGATTTGGAGACCTAAGTTGACGCGTGGCTCAGATTGAATTCTTATTGTATATGTAATTGGTGAGGTTTCGCTGAGCAAGCACGAAATGCTTCCAGAGGAGTTTGCAGTTAGCCTTCAAGATCAGAATGACAAGAAGTGGAGTTGTTGAAGAAGGACAAAAGCTGAACTCCACCGATTGCTATATACTATATATTAGGTTGGAGGCCATCGCTTCTAGGTTGGAGGCCATCGCTATTGGGTTGGAGGCCATCGCTACTAGTAACAAGAAGCTACTAGGTGGA